GAAATGTAAGAATTCATATTACTACGTTTTCACATTAATGTCTACTATTTGTAATACGAGAAAGCAAAGAACGTTCGTCTCATTTATACAAACATTCAGAACTTGGTCACCGGTGGTGAGCGGCAAGTATATACACTATTGTTCCTTCAATCGTTAAACAGTGACACTGGATCCCTCTCAAAGAAACATATCTGCTAGAGAACTGGAACTAGAATAAACGAAAGCGAGCGTTTTCTTTTTCACGGATAATCTATAGTTCCTTTATCAAAATTCTTTCAATCCAAATATCAAATTACATTTTATCGAGTTACATCACACGATTCGTATCAATTCAAATCGAAAGTTCTAGCATAAAAATATTTCTTTCTTTCAGAATCAAATATTCTTTCGTAAAAAATTTATCTTTAATTATCAAAAATAGAAATATATTCTGTTTCTTCTTTTTCTTTAATGAAAAAGATCGATTAAATACAATTTTACCAAAAAAAAAAAAAAAAAACATACATTTATTCAATCACTTGATAATAAAATAATTTCAACGTTGTTTGTAGGTAACATCGAAAAACGTAATTAAAAATCATTTGTATGATTTACTACAAATTTAGACAAAAGAAAAAAAAACGAGAGAAATATTCAATCGTCCGAATACTTACATCGAGGAGGAATGGAAGAGCTATAATTTATCGGAGGAGGGCAGGCAAAGGGTAAACAACAGATAGAGATCCATACATGGTCGCGTTAATCATTTCCGACACGTACCACGCGCATCCTAGCGAGGAAACGCACTTGTGAATCGAACCCCAAGATCGTCGGAGGACGAGGATTACCTGGCAATGACTCCTAGAAGAAATTATCGGTATATCTCGCCGGTATGAATCAACAAACTATTAAGGATAATCTTGCGAGGGATTATAGTGATCCGCTCGGTCTTTAAATTAAAATAATACGACAAGAGATTCCTGCATTTACGAACTAATATATACATCTCCTTCCATCTTGCGGAGACATTCGGTTTCGCTTCGAGGATTTCGCCTACCTTGAAAATAATTTCTTTCTCTCTGCGGTTGTATCGAGAATTGGTAAAATTTTCCATTTAACAGAGGAATTTTCGATTTCGTTCTTGGTTGATTGGTTTTTCTTTTTTTTTTATTATTATTTATCATTATCGATATTATTATCGTTATCTCGCGATTTATGCGAAGGATAATAAGTATTATTATAGATTATAAGCTCGTATAACCGATGAATAATATCTGTAATGGCAGGTTTTCAATTCGAATTAATATCTTGTCTTAACTTAAAGAAACCTCTACGATACGATTGTAAGTATGTATATTTTATTCGAGATCGAAACGAAAAGATTCGATCTCGAGAATATATTATTTATTCTCAGATATATTCGCGCTCTTCAACTTGAACAATATAATGTGAATGTGAATGCGTATTTCGTAGGTGAAGATCGTTCGTCCCGAAATGATAAAATAATCGAGCGTTAAGCGCGAGAGAGAAAGATGAATAACAAGATAACAAGAATAAGAAGATGAAGGAGATGAATTACAATTCACGATGGGTTCAGAATTCAGTGGTTTCGAAATCGAATTGTTCGCGAGCAAGAGGAGCGGAATCGAGCAAGGGGGATGGAAAAATGGAGCAGCGCATAATAGAAGGAAGGAAATTAAGGTCGTAGTGCACGAGGTTGCACAGAACTCTCCTCCTGTGGTATCCCGTTACGGCGAGCAACTTGCCACGACCGCTTTGCCTTCATCGGAGAAATAATCTTCAACGGTGACACACGTTTCTCTCGTTAACGACGAAGCCGCAATCGTCTTACCTATTCCACGCTTATAACTGTAAGGTGATAATTGATTGCGTATGCCAATCGAAACGAACGCAACTGCGATAGTTCGCGTATGTCCCGTTAATCGCGTAACTTCGTTACGGATGAGTTTCTTGCGCGCGATTTTTGACGGACCATAACCACGAATGAGGTCGACTCGCGACTATTTGGGAATAAAAGAGAAATTTCTGATACGCTTTCGTCTTCAGCATTTTGCGTAATTCCGTGCCGTTTCCAGATTTTTCAGAGCGTTTAGTTATACCAGTTTTAAAAGGACTCGTTCAAAGGATTATGAACGAGCATGTGGAATAGAAAAAAAGAAAAAAAAAAAACGATCGACGGAATAGAAAGTGCACGATTAGTCATCGAGGACGTAAATACTGAATCACGTTCACGCCAAGTGTTTTCTGTGGTTTTATACATGTAAAATATGGATGTAAATATATTCGTGGATATGTCTTTGGAAGTGTTTAAAGATTAAAATGAATATACAAAAAAATGTCGCTTCCACCAAACGAAGCAAAATTTATTCTGAATCTTGATAATACCAATACCCTGTAAACTAAATTTATATTCCTCAAAAACTTAATTATACATCGTAATCTATCATAATTTTCTGATATATCGTGATATTGCTTCTAAATTTTCTTTAGTTGATCCAACATTTGCTAAACTCCGTGTGCCCTCTACGAAAAACGTTATCATTCCGAGCCACACCTTTCCTTTCAGAAAGAACGTTTCCAATCGATTCGTTTCCAGCACCAGCATCGCTTCAAACCAGAGACACGCCGAGATTAGAATTACCGCCGGTAATATGCGTCCCAAGTTGGCTCGTGTTGCCTTCCATCGCGGCCACGTAAAGGCTAAAAACTGAAATTCCGGAAGGCCGGGAGCGGGAATCCATGGAGACCGCGCGACTCCTGATCGAAGAATCGTCGGGAGAGGCAAAACCATAAAGGTGATCTCTCGTCGCAAGTTTGCAAGCGGCGGTTGGCGCGCTTCAAGGCCGCGGGAGAACCAAGCGTGAAACTAGTCCGACCGGTACGAGAGAGTATGGTAGCTATTATACGGGTAACGTGTATAGTGGATCGGAGAGAAGTGTTCGGTTTAGCGGAAGGCGAAGTCGAATAACCCGGCACGTACAATGTAAAATCTCTCTCCCCGTGGTACGTGCCAGGGGCATCTATCTCTGACGGAATACCATGCCGCTGGTGCGCCTTCATGCTTCCCTTCGTCGGATGATTGCAACGCGGCGCGATGCTGGCCGTGCAAAAAGAAAAGAAAAAAAAGAAAAAGAAAAGAAAAGAAGAAGGAAAAAATACCGAGCAACCGGTAATTCTGTAAATAAAATGTGGTTTCCTGCGAAGTGAACTCCGATGACCGCTTCTTGCGACCGTTTTTGTTCTTAAATTATGTTATTTTTCAAATGGAAACTTAACTCTTGAAGTATGCGGATCCTAAATGAGATTGCAGATGATTTTCGATCAACTACTTTGAGTATTAGTGAATCATAAATTATTTGATTTTCGTTATTTATTTATTTAATCGACTGCAAACTTGAATAAATAAAAAATACAGGTGTAGGATTGCGAAAATTAACGTTTCAAATTGATGTTAATTCAAGCTAAGTTCCGGAATGTTAATTATTCACGTTTGGTCGATTCTTTGTTTAACAAGAATCGGTCAAGGCCACTAATCTGACGACGAATCATGTTGCGAGTGATCAGTTTATTATCTTGTTACATAGTTCAATGTTACATGATTGTTGAATATATTCTTAAAATCGTAATGGTTTTAAATTGAAGAAGATAGTACGAAGTAAAATAGAATGAAAATTTTCGAAAACGAGATCAATTTTGAGAAATATATCATATAACCATTCTTTTATGATTATGAAAGAATCATAGATCTTCTAGGTTTTTGCGTAGAAACAATATTGGAATCTATAAGCGCTTAAGCTGCTCTTCATTACTGGTCTATCAAAACAATTATCTTTAAACCGGTTCGCAGAATTAAAATTTATCAACGACAATCTGAATCATTCTTCTGGTATAACGAACGTGTTACCTGCAACATGATTGAACAAAGAACTATTTATTAAATTGTATTAATAGTGAATAATTGAATAACCTCGGTTGTCATTATTACAATCATACACTTTCTAAGAAATCGATATAATTATGAGAGCTTCAAAACTTTTGTGAGCATATAGTTTAGAATTAGTATTAATTTCATAGCAATATATGATCGTGTTGCTATGCGATATGTTGATAGATATATCATCATAATTTATTCAATTCTCTTAATATAAAAATTACTGCATATTTAAAATATTCATTCTCGATCGATTATTACAACGAAAAACGCATTTAGTTAGGGAAGACATAAAAAAGAATGATAATGTTAGCAAATTAATATGATTAAATATTTAAGTGCCATACAATTATTGTAGAAAATAAATACGAAGCCTGAAATACGAAGCAATAATGACCATGTTCTTTTTCTACTTTTTGCATTTTCGTTATCACATTTTAATTATCATAGTAATTTAACTCTGCACTATGAAATTGTCTCTGATAATATTGCCTTAAAAATAGCATTTTTACATATATTTTCAAAAATTAAAATGAATGAATTGCATACCAATACTCTATTCTAGATACATGTAATTATTTCAAAAAAAGAAAGCGTAAAATAATACCATAAAATAATCATTGAAACGATCATATTCTTATCCTATTGCAAAAGGGACAAATTCAAGAGACAAATATCATATCTTTGTTAAATAACAATAGAAAAGGACGCACCTTAATTCAATATGCCAAGCTATAATCGGTATAGCAGAAAATGATTCAAATGATTCAATGTGGAAGAGTCTCAGAGGCATTCTAATTAGCCGCTATGCAGTTGAGACTCGTTACGATCTTAATTGGTGCACTGGATTGTTCTGTGGACAGGTTTAGCTGGCTGGTTGGAACAATGGTCAGAACGCAGCGGGCCAACCGATATAATTATGCGTTTCGCAATCGTGACGCTTTCACGAGTGTATACACGCATGCGCACACGCATGCGCATTCTCTCGCTTTATCGCCTACACAAAGTGAAAAATGTATTATCAATCGTATTGTTGTGAAATATAATTGCGGTGACACTACTCGTTCAACCACGACGAACATCCTCTTTTTGAACGTGCAAATTACAATATTAGCTAGTTTGTGGGTATCTCTTCCGTGACGAAGATGATCTTCAGTAATAACAGACGGATGATTCTGCCAAGGGGAAATCGACGATTCGTTAGGATTCGAAAGCGTTTACTCTTGCACGGGCTAGGCGAGAGATCGTGTTTTAACGCAGATCTGCAGATCTAGGCGAAAGAAATCATATTCGAAAGAAAGAAAAGTAATTTTCATAGTTATCTTGGCTTTTATAATATATCATCTTGTAAAAAATTGATTGATAACTATTGATAGGTATATTTTACTATATATATAGGTTATACATTACAATATAACAGAATAATAAGATAAGTTTCGATTTCATTTACCATGCATTAGTATTATTTCATTAAATTTGTTTGAATGTTTGAATTTTTATATTTCAATTTCATTTTTAATAGAAAAATTGTTAATATTGGAAGAAAAACTTTAGTACGTATAAACGAGAAGTTATATATATTTAAAATAATTTTTCTATAATTTTTTCAAATTGAGAAAATTTTTAACGACGAAAGATATGATAGACATATCGTAAATAATCCAAAGGATATAGCAAATATAAAACGAAATATGTCTATTTATTAGCTATTAACACAGATTGTAACATAATTTAAAGCTATGATGATCATGATTATAAACTATGAGTCGTCATTTTTTTTTTCACGCTCAATGATTATCTAAAAATATTTTCATTTGTTCATAGGAATGAATTTATTTGCGGTTATAAAGGGAAATATCGTATTCAAAGTAACGAAGTCTTCCAGCCAGGAGAGAAAGTGTTGACCTCGATACAATGGGTTTTCGATGAAACGCGTTATCACATCCTATCGAGGTCGTAATAATCGTTTTTAATGTGCTTAATGTTCACGGTGCTATCTTACGTAATATAAAAACGTTGATCATGTCAGCGATGGAATATTAATACATATTTAATATTACCAACAACGTTACAATGGAATTCTATCATGATAATCATGAAATAATTAAAATAATAATTTAAGTATGGAGTGCTGTACTGTTAGTTTCTCATCTTTCATACATAACTTGTTGCAAATATTAATTAAGAATGCAATATACTGATCCAGTTGTGTTAATAGTCTCATTGTAGTAATATCAACGAGAAATTCTCGAAAGGGACAGTTACATGGCAATGTGAATCAAAGAATAGAAAGTAAATATTAATGGATTAAAAATTGTAGTAATTAACTAACGGCTGGAATTTTATTGTTATAGGACGTAATGAGCGAGTACGAACGAATCAAGCGTTCGTGCTTGAAACGAGGTGAATTATGGGAAGATCCAGAATTTCCAGCAACGCAAACCTCGGTCTTCTATCATCAAACACCTCCGTTTCAGTTTCAATGGAAGAGACCAAAGGTAATTTCTCGACATAATTACATTCGTATGAATCATATTATCATTATTAATCGCATTATAAAAGTAATTTATGTGAAAAGCATAATTTTCAATTACGATTTGTGTATGATTAGTTAATATCATCTCTACCTAGTTCACATAACCTCTCGGTTCGTAGAATTTAGGCGAAGCAATTCTGGATTGTAGTATTTGACATAGAGAACTTGAGACTCCCTGAAACCGTGGGATTTTAGATGAGGAATTCTGCTAGAATTTTAAAAATTTCAGTCAAGACTTTAGGTCAACATATTCTAAAATTTAAAAAATCATAACCTATTTTTATAATTATGAAACTGTAATCGAAGTTTCACGTAAAAAAATGAATTTGATTAAAATTTCTTCTAGTTTTCTTAAAGCATTTAGATTTTAGAAAATTCTGCTTTTCATGATTCACTAGATTTCTCTATTGAGATTTCTTGTACTTGATACATATATGATTTTAGTCCAAGGATAAATATTCATTTTTTAACACTCCATGATAATCTTTGTCTCTCTTGAGACTTCAGAATTTAACGTTAAATATTTGCACAATTCCAGTCTCTTGTTTCAAAACTTTATAAGTCAAGATTTTCCAGCTACATCTTACAATCCTAAAGTCTGTACTAAATTTTACGATTTTATAGTGTGCTTCTATATATATATATCTAATGACTCTGATATTTCTTATTATGTATCTTATAATGAACCATTAATTCCAAAAAATTTATAACTTTCAATATATCATTATTGATGCGATCTATATTCATTTACCACCGAATAAAGAGATCAGTAGCATTGATTCGCTTCAGTTCCAACAGAACGGAAGAACGGGGAATCTGAAATCTAGGAACCGTAACGGCGACAGTATGCAACCTTGACACATAGTGCGTGTCTTTATCATCTTCGTGCTTATGATCACATTTAACAGTAACATTTTTACTGTACATGATGCACTAACGGTTTTTTTTAAGATTATCGTTATAATAATTATTCTATTAATATATATATAATATAATTTTAAATATAGATATTCAGAATACAATTTTTACGAAGATTCATCAAAAAGGATTTGTTCATCATCTTCTAGAGTCTCCAAATAAGATTATTAACGTTCTCACAGAGGGATTTTTCTAAAAATTAGCAGGTACGCTTTTTCTAAATTTATTCAAAATATTTACGATTAACAATTTTTATTAAACACTTATTTATTAAATATTAAAACAATTTAAATAATTAAACGGAAACAAAAATTTTGGAGGGAAAAATTTTGCTGCGAAATATTTAATTGTGAGGTATCTAAGTTACCTTGCTTATCTTAAAAATAAATGCGAGAATATGAGAATAATTTTCAAGGGATCAACGATTCGATAGATTAATTACGCAGCTTGCACGACGAACCGAGAAACGAGAATAAGCGTAAGGTTGCCTACGCGTAACTGGAGCCTATTTAGCCTTTGAAACGAAACATTATGGTTCTCCTTGTTGCGTATAATGATCGTAATAAAAGCTACTGACATCGGCTGGTTTCTACAACAGTGTCGACAATTGCGTTCACGCAATAGGTATTACGTGAGACGCACATTTACGTGTCACACTTTACTGCGACCGGAAAGGATCGAAGGTGAGCGTGACGAGAGTAGTGAAGAAGAACGACAGGTTAAATACTCTGTATTGAAAAGAAAAATCGTCGATAAAATATAACTCAAAATGAAATTCTATGACGTAATTATATCATAGATACATAACATCTTAATTTGTTTTTTGAAAGTCTGTTGAGTAATTTTTAATAAGGAAATGGAAAATGGTTAGAAAATAAATTTTTTAAATTTAAAATTTTATAACGTAACGAAATAGAAAAGTTTTTTAAATTTGAATTTTATATATTTTTAGAACTCTTTATGTTTCTCATTTGATAAAATTTATTATTTAAATATTTTTCTATTAAATCATCGAATGAAAATGTTATCTTATAAAATGTTATCGTAGAAAAATTTGATTTGTAGAAAAGTATGAATGGAAAGTCAAGCATATTTGTATAATATGAATCGGAAGTGGAAAAAGTTGGATGAACATGGCAATGAAAATATAAACGGCATTTATGGTATTTTCCAGGATTGTAATTATCCATAATTAACGACTATCTATCATATAGTGTCGGGCATTCTAAATCTTACGTCACGTAATTATAAGAAATTTCTTCCGAAACCGGAAACAAGGTGGAAACAATTTCTGAGATGCAAAAGGAATGATAAAAAACGACACCTGTACAAAAAGTACGTTCTGAAGGTTTCGACCAAGCATAGAACTCATTGCGAATCGCATTCCAAGTCTGTCTGGGAATATTTATCCGTTGTGGAACATAAAACGTTATATAATCAGCTTTTGTTCCATGGTTGAGGATGTAAACTTCTGACAAATTAATACTGTAATGCAAAATAAATTTCTTAATTGCTTTTGACTTTTCTTACGATTTAAAATTGCATAAAACTTCTAGTAATTTTAAATATAATTAATACGAATAAGAGAATTAGTATTTATGTTTTAAACATAATGAAACATAAGAGGATTTACATCTGAAACTAATAAATAATTACATCTGAAACTAATAATAATTTATTTTCCAACGAATAATTTTTCTTTTCTTTTGTTTTTTAGGAATTATGCAATCGTCCAATATTCGTCAGCGATACACCAGCCCAATTCGATGTAATTCCTGGAAAAATGGGTAAGTGTAATAAAATTTTTATTTTTCATTTCATATTATTATTATTATTATATATTTTGTATATATCTCTTAGTTCGTTAAAAAATAAATAGAAGAAGTAAAGAAATAATCAAAGCTATTTAAATATTTAATAATTCCATTTTATTCTGATTCAGTGTGTAAAATATACGCTCGTAATGAGTGAATCATTTCACCTTGGAAATTAAAATAGATTTCTTGATGGAAATTAAAATAGAGTTTATTGTATTTTATTTAAACGCTTATCTTATATAAATTATTATTAAGTTATAAACATTCAATTCAAAATATTTTATATCGATTAAATTTATATTTTATTTTTCTTTACTAATATTATTCTTTCCTAATATTGAATTTCGATTTTAGAAGAAGAAAGTGACGAAGAATCATACTCTATGTTTCACATATCCGTGATGACATCTTCCAGGCACTTTCACATCTTTCACATTAACTCCAACGATTATAATATTTCCTCTTAACACGATGTTATTATCATCATGAAAACACGAATCGATACACGCTCGTCAAGTCTTTCTATGAACGACCTCGAAATCGTACAAACCCTGAAAGTGACTCGGATAACCTTTGAGAAACGTGGGAGATATTCCTGCGGATACTGTGGTTCAAAGCTGTTAGAACCAAACGACTTTCTTTCAGCCACGACATATACGACCATGTGCCGATATAATCGATATTCCCGGCAATTTAATTAACGAATAACCGAACTGCGGTATTGTATGATAATCGCACGGCTATCTCGCGTACTTCTATTTTTATATGGCCTTAAAGGAATCTGGAAGCCAATGAATATTATTTTATTTTTATCGATACTCAAAGTCATTATAAATTTGAAGTACCATATACCATATTTCAATCATATTATTTCTGTTATTAAAAATTGAAATTAATATTTTCATGCTAAGGATCATATAAATTTTTAATCAAAATCAAAAATCAATTTTATTAAATATCAAATAAGATTTATAACTTTATTGAATACAGAATAATAATTTTTAGATGTAAAGATCGAAATTGACCTTACTTGAGAAGATTTTTATTTCCAAAATATAGTGGTAAAATATATTAATGATCAATTTGCAAGACAAAATTTCGACGTAAAGATATAAATAATTTTACCATACCTTCGAATGTACTCTTGACAATTTGCAATTTGTAATTTTATGTACCTTTTACACGTGTGTTAAACGGTAAGAGATTCTCAGCAAGCGTGTTTCTATCTGACCTGTCGCATCGCTGTCGACGAGTTACGAGTTACGCCAAGTATAGAACGTGGAACGCATCGCGGTCTTAATCTCCGTCTCGTGAGGAGACTCGTGCAATTCACGAGCATCATGGACGGAAGTCGAACGACCCGGGAATTCGTGCAAACGCGTGTTCTCTTCAAGGCGACGCAGCACCGTGTCCCGTTAGTGTGCATAAGCATGTAACAGCATGCGCGACCGAATGGGATTACCATGACACGTGATCATTTCTTTTCGACCTACATTAAGACGATTTAAATTGCTCGCGTTACGAAATAAGGTGATTGGAATATAGTGACTGGAAATATTCGATTTTTTTTAAAATAAATATTGTCTCCTCGGATTTTTTTTTTTTCTTGACTAATTTTATTCGTTTATTACGTAATATTTAATGATGTACAACTTATCTCTGAAATAGTGATTCAAGTTAGTTAGAACACGAATTGAAGAGTGATTCTGTATGAGAAAAAAGAATAATATTTTTTTCTTATACAAGCGAAATTGATTAATTTTCGATTAGATACGAATAAACTTTTAATAGGAGATAATTTTATATGTGAAAATAAAAAAAAAAAGATGAGAGTCGAAAATTACTTTAATTCTTTGCAATCCGTATTCAATGCGGATATCATGAATTTTTCCAAAAAATGTGAAAAATAATTTATAATAACAATAAATAAAGTCAAAATTTAAAAATTTAAGATCATTACATATAGTTCTACGATCTCTAAATTATAAGAATCATACAATTACAGCTTTGCATGATAAATCGCAGATATCCATTCTTTCTCGTTTATTTGAATAATCAAGCCACTTTTTTTCCGCTCTACAAGCGCTGACATACATGTTTACGATCAAATGAGAACAATGCAGATAGAAGGCGACGATGGTAACAATTATTTGAACGTTTAATATATCAAGCAATCCTGTCTCGCGCGCGTGGAAGCCGTTAAAATAAGAATTACACGTATCTTATTATATATTAGCCGTTAAAATAAGAATTACACAATTATATTAATAATTATTTTCCTACGATTCGACGAAAGCCAAGCCATCACGTTCACGTGATTCGAATCCCCCTCAAATCGTTTGTCATTGCACAATGTGTTTTCAGCTCTTGACACCAATGTCAGTACCACTGACTGTCAGAGTACCACTTGGACATAATTACAATGGACGCGCTTTCGTGGGTATTATTCCTCTAGGAGTTGTCCAAGCTCGACGAAACGATCGGTTTGCTCGCGTAGAAATATTTGTCTACTCGCTGGAAACCGGGGTTAGCTCATCTGTAATCGTTTGCGGTTGAAAATCGGGCCTTCAGTGAAAGTGGATCGATGCGCGCACCGTTTGAATAGAGATACGAGCTAATCAGATCATGGTAAATGATCGATCACCGCGTTTACGATAATTTTCTTGATGATCATCTTTCAGAGAAACGATCATCGCGCGTGAATGAATTGCGATATTCTTCCCAGTGTGTCATAACAACTTCATTTTTTTCTTCGTTCGAAAAGAAAGTCAAAGGTAGTTTCTTCAACGATAAGTTATTTATGGATAATCGTAAAAATCTTGTTAATGGATGATGTTTTTAATGTCAGAAATATCGAATACGTCAGATTCACGAATTTTTCTAATTATTTTGCAAATTTTTTTTTTAAGAAAATCAAAATGTGTATGTACCGATTTTTAAACCGATTGAAATGATCAATTTTCAATCGGTACATACAGGGAAAAATGGAAAATGGAAGAAAATTTCAATTTTAATTTATTTATCGAATTTATTGATTTTTAATCGAGCCATTTGATCCAGATTCTTTTCTGACTTTATTTTATGGATGGAAAGTATATATATTTATAATTTGATTTATTCGTTTTGAATAAAAACGAACGTGAGATCGTATATACGTGAGATCATGAATAAGTCCGCGAGAAAGAGGCGTTAAAGTTATTCGATAAATTATGGAACAGCTCTAATAAACTATGTAAACAGGCGAAACAGATTTGTAATGTTCGGTCGACGCGTGTCGTAACTTCGTGAGAACATTTTCTTCGATCGAACACCGTAACGACAACGATTCATTACTCGGTCAACTTTCGTTTTCTAAATGTGTAAATCACCGATTATGCGTTCAAACATTTCTTTTTAAATTTCAATAATGAGACAAAAAGAAAATGAAATACATAATTTTTTCTTTCTCTTTTTGAATTTATATAAATATTAATATCCTCTTACTTTCAGTCATTATTCAGCATTTTCTGACAGCTTTTGTTTATAATAGAATGAATAATTGCAGCGAACAATGAAGTTGTATTCCTCGTAAATCTACGCCAGATTAATTAACGATAACAGTACGCATAACGCGGAACGTACTTAACAGAAAGTTAATTTGAATCGCAATGTGGTTCACTTTATATCTATATATCGATCTCACGTGCGATGAATAAAGAAAGGATATAAACGAGAACGTTCAGTTATAATTTACCTAATTCGCGAAACACGTTTCCCCGTCTTCCATTGTTTACCACAAACTGTTTTAAGTCTTCTTCTTTAAAAAGAAATCAATATGCTTTACAATATACATCACAAGAGTTCATTCATATTCAGTAAAAGTTAATTCAATAATAAAAGAATAAGCTTGAATAATCGATCTCTATACTCTTATATTATTTTTATTTACATAATATTACTGATCTTGTGTTTAAATAAAACTGTTTATTCAATAGCAAGGGAAATATAAAACATAATCGTTTGATTCAGAATAAACAAAGAATAAATTTTTTTAATACGTTTCTTCATTTGACCAGAATTTATTAACGCGTATATTTTTACCATTAGAATTAATATCCTATGATTTATTCTTAAATTCAGGTGACAAATGGCTGGTCTCCTGTCTGGGAGTTCTTCACCTGAGCAAAGGACTGTTCTACAGGGTGGTGCCAGCTGACCAAGGATTTGGGAACAGCGGAGAACCGCCTGGATCACCGACGGCCGAGTACGCCGGGGTATTCAGGTTCCGTTTATGGTGGTGCGGCGCATGGGTCGAAGTTCTCGTCGACGACAGGCTACCGGCGATTCACGGACGGCTAGCTTTCGTGCAAAGTCGTCACAGTGATCAATTCTGGCCGGCTCTTCTGGAGAAAGCGTACGCCAAGTGAGTAGGAAGTGCTTGAACTCGAGAGCGCTCGGTTATTTGTCCATCAAGTGATCGGCCGCGCATGAGATTCTTTCTCGCGCTTGCCTCTTGTCTTTACCTTCCAATATGGCTTAGAGAAAAGGGAAGTGAGTTGACTCGAGATGTCAACGTGAGATTGAAAGAATTTTTCTTCTTCGAATAATGTAATTGCAATTACGTAAAAATGCTTTTTATCGCGTAATTTTATCGTGCGACTATATTACTCTATCGCACATTGTACCTTTTCTTTCGCTATTCTTTCTTTCTTTCTTTTTCCTTTTCATCTTCTGATAAAATTTAAAGAAACGTAAAGTCGAAAGTTTTTTTTTTTTTATTTGAATAAATATTCTCTGTCGCATAACGAAGTTATAAATTCCAGTTTTCTCGAATAATTGAATTTTTTTATTTTTTCATAACTTTTTTATTTCATTCGAATATTCATTACGTAAAAATGTTGATTATAATATGATGGACTTGAATGATAATGTCACTAGTAGAAAACGAGTTTTAAAAAAACGTATGTAACTCTACGATGTTATAACATCGAGATGGGATGTTATAACATCGAAAAGGTCAATTGATCAGTTTCAATCGAACGCGATTTCGCGTGGGCGTATAAGGTGGTGTATCTGGGTTCATCGATCGATCTCGGTAAGGTCGATTCTCGTGCTAACGCACCACGTGAACGTCCACCTGATGAACACCCACGCCACCCACCCGAACTTACAAGATTGGCCGTGATAGCATGAAAGTTATTTGCGTATTTGCATATCCACCCACGGTTTTCCATTCTCGATGAAAATTCGAAAGTCGTTCGATGATTCTGATTTTCGATGCTTTTCATAAACAATGTACCAAGAGATTCTTATTCGAAACAACTTACACATTTTTTATTATAATCTCTACAAAATTATTCACGTAAATTTTATCGCTAATATTAGATAATATTTCTCGTATATATCAAATTTAAACTTCTAAAAAGTTATTACATAAATTCTTTCTTAAATTTACAAAAGTATATGCGATTTCTAATAATCATTCATTCGATTTCTCAAAGGAAAAATTAACGTGGCTTCCAGCGAGAGAAAACTAAAGAGAAGCAATGAGAATCATTAATAGATACATAAAACTTATGAACCAACAACAATTTCAAATGATCTAATGAAAACACACATTTGGTCATGACGTTTGGAAGATACGATCTGTAACGAAGCGAAGCGTAATCGAGCGATTCGCGAATACTATAAACGAAACGGACATCATATCGTAGAGACACAGAATTTATTCCCGATGTCTCGCAAGATCTACGGAGCGGATCTTCGCCGCGAGTACAGCGCGAGATCTCTTCTGCGAGGTGGAAGAAGCGTTTACGCGGACGAACGAACGATGACCGGTTTTGCCGAAGGTCCTTGCTCCTCCTCTTAATCTTTCCGCTGATGACCGTTTCTCCTTCCTTCTTCTCTCCTTCACCTCGTTATCCGCTTCTTACTCGCCTCCCTTCCTCGGCTTCTCCTCGTTTCTTGCCGTCAGGGATGTAAACCCTGGGCGTTGCACTTGAAACGACTGCAACGTGACGGCCTCGGAGAGGAAGACGACCTCGTGAGTGGCAACGAAAGAAGAGCAGAGGGATCGTCGATAAGAATCGCCGAGTTTCATACCTGGCTTTTCTTTTCTTCCCTTTTTTTTTTTCTTTCTTTTTTCTTTTTTCTTGTTTACCGAGATCCATAGCCGTGACAAATTTCTCATCGACGATAACGCGATATTTACACGCTCGTAGCGTACGTGTGCGTGTATCGTTGCTTTATCGAAGCTGAAGAACGCTTTGATATTGCGCCATTAAATAGATAATAAAAAGGATTTTCTTTCTTTCTTTCTTTCTTTTTCTTTTTTCGTTTTTTATAGGTATGTTATCCGAAGTTTTTAATAAAAGAAATTTCAATCTGTAAATCGTTTTTTTAAAACAAGATTTAAACATTTTATGTTTTATATCGAAAGATAAATATTACTGTAGATCATTTGAAGATCAGCAGACGCAAGACTTGTACTTATGCTTTCCCTAGATACTTTTTTTTGAAACTATTAAAAAAAAATATTTTTTATATCATTAAATGATGAATAATTAATTCGATAAATATTTAAATGTAGTGTAAAAATATTTAGAAAATGTTATTATTTAATATATTAATCTTTTTTCAAAATAGAATGCTTCTGCTTGTTTCTTATATACAGAAACTGGAGATTTGAACGCCTGGATAACGCGAACGCGAGATGACTTAAACAGTCCTATTTTTCATTTAAATTTTATTCGAATTACAGAATTACAAAAAAAAAAAAAATATTCGTAAATATATCGTGCTGAAACTAACAAAATTTCAAACAAAATGCTTATTTTTAATTACTCGTTCAAATATTGGCCAACCAAATATGATTTCTATTAACATTACAAATTAGGATTCTATTTGATATAGTCATTTTCATTACGACGCAAATACGATCGAGTCAAATTTTTAATCTTTTCCATTATTCCATCATTTATTTTTTTCTTTTCACTCATGAAATTTTGAAATTTTCTATTTAGCATTGCATATAAGTTTAAGAGGAATACTTGCAACGAGTACATCTATTTAACGATCGAGAACACAGCTCGTTATAATTTCATCATCAAACGCGTTCATCTTGCGTCACAATGGCGAATATATGTACACGCGTAACGAGAAATTGTCGTGGTTGTGCCGCGTTCTACAAGGAGAAAGCAGAACAAAGAGACCAAACCTTATAACTTGCATCACAAAATGGCACGAAAGTGAAATAATCGATTAATACATTCCTACACTTGTAATAAATCTTATATGATCATAATACTCCAAGTATACCAGATTAAAAATGATTAATATCATTTTAGATCTAGCATTATTATCGATTTAAATCGATTAAAAATGACACGATTCTCGAATTGAAAAAAGATCGAAAGTCGCGAGGACATTTAATGAAAAATTAAAGTTAAACAAATATATATATATATACACGTTTTTATTAATTTCTAAAAACACACGATTCTTCAAGCGATGAAATTACTTTTCGATTGATTTTTTTACGATTTGCTAATTCGATTCGCTCGATTAGATCCATCGGGAAAAATATATATTGTGATGCGGCTACGATTGCACTGGTCAACAACTTCGGCAAAGGAATCGAGGTCGGGATTCATTAATAATTGATAATGCGTTGTTACCTCTTGATGGCTTCCGTTTGACGTTGAATGTACGATGCAGTCGATTAATGTTAAATCGTTTGAAATCAACTGGTACCCATAAATAATTCTGATGAAACGATATTTCGCGATTGTATATTGTAATGTACTTAGTTTTTATGTCAGTCAACTCGTGGTAGATTTTATGAGCAAATATCGAGAATCTTCAGCGATATTATCATTAATTTTCACTGGCAAACTATGTCATAATTTTAAAATACAATTATAATAGTTAAACTAATTGTTGTTACTAAATGTGATCATTATTTTGCCAAAATTGCCAAAAAATATTCTTCAAATATAAAGTAAATATAAAATTCTTGTAATAAATTTGCAATTAAAATATTTCTTATATTAAAATCTTTCATTTTAAATTAATTTCCTTTAAGTATAACTTTAAAAAAAACTAATCATTTGATTTTTAAAAAGTTATACATTTTCACACTAAAATTAAGAATTTTACAAAAGTTTCAATTAATTAATCTGATTACTAAGTGGTTTATTCGACGATACGAAAACGCAGTGTGTCATTGAGTTATTAATCATCCCATTTATTTTCACTATTTATCTAATTACAGCAATAAAATGATCTCAAAATTTATATTACATACGAACCGTGTCTAACGAAGCTTTTTTCTTTGTACAACATTAAAAATTTACAATTTTATAAAATTGATATCATCTAGCTAACAGTGAATTGAAATCGAATTCGTCTAGCGCAAGAAAATTCCCGTTTTCGATATGATAAAGCCGATGGGTTTTGTGACAATGTCAAATTATTCCATGCGTTTCGATTCAATGCAAACGCACAAGAGGACACGTTCTCCAACTGAGAGAATCTCTCGTCGATGGCACACTTCTTTTCACGGGGAGAGAATCGTTCATTGGCCGACCTTTCATCTTTCACGATAACCCTGTCGCGCGGATCGAATCAATTCGGAATGTACCGTGAATCCAAACTTAATAATCTGGCATTATAAATAATATTAAAATCAGTTAGAAAGCTCATATGTTCACATGCCATCGCGTGCATAGCTAGCGAAAGAATTATGCTGGACGCGATTTCCATTAGAAACCATTGCGCATGCGCCTGATACACCTCAAGCGAAGAATCGCTAAATAACGCATTATGCGTACACCGGTTAGTCCTACGATAATACCACCAATTATTTTGTAACTGTAACCATTTTGTGGAGTAATTAACGTGTTTTACGATCGATAAATGATGTGATTTAATTTCTTACTTGTAAGCAATAATATATAATTCTTCATTGCATTAAAAATAAAGTATAATAAGTAAATGACATAACACAAGGAATACAAAATTGAATCTATTGTTACATAACCTCTCTTTTTTTTTCGTATATATGATATATCTATCATATATAGAATAATATGAAAGTTGAACTTTGAACGAATTTAGATTTTGCAATGATAAAAGCAATTTTTACATATAAAAAATTACATATAAAAAAATAATAATCATATAATAATCGAAAAAATTTGTTTTTCGTAGATTATAAAGTCAAGAGCGATGATTCATAAGATTGATGTACGGAGAACGAAATTTTCAGCAGTAGAATCGTCCGTTTTGGCTCATCAGCAATAAGAATTTAGAATTCGGCATAGCTTAAGAATACGTTGGTACAGCCGGGCTATATTCGGCGCTGTATATTTGTGCACGCACATGCCAACCATGGATATACTAAGCAAGTATATCCGCGGATACTTTCACTCGACGAGTAGTCGGTTCGTTGGTTGCCAGCAATGGATCGGAGGTCAGTGCACCGGTGACCACAGTCCAAGCTTGTATCTGCGGGCACGAAAACTGCTGCAACAGCGTTTCATGCTAATAGAGACTCGAAAACGAGCTTTGTTAATAAGTTCATCTACTTATCTGATTTCATAATGTTGAAATTTTTATCGATTTATGAATACTTGAATTCTGTCCTGGAATTACGAATTTAGTTCTCTCATGGATAGTTCACTAATTAAAAACATATATTTCAGAATATCCTTTTTTCCGATAAAAATTTATTACTTATGAATATATATATATATATATATATATAGAGAGAGAGAGAGAGAGAGAGAGAAAGAGATAGAGATAGAGATTATCAATTCTATTTATTTTTTAAATTATGAAACTGTTTTATGTAGATAATATTATTGTAGATATGCCGTTTACATATATTATTTATTAATTTCAAAATTGTTGTTTAATTTTATATTATGAATAATATAAAATATATATTAACATTGGTAATCATATAAAAGAATTGCAAATAACATTTCATATCTGCGTCATTACCCCGTTAGATGATCATAGGACGGAAATACGTCAATGGTAAGATTCGCATTATCGTTGACTCACAAATGACAATGGCAGTTACATAGTTAGCAGTGTTTAATCAAAGATGATCCTTGCGATAATTTCATTTCTTCATAATCTGATAAAGATTCACTATCTATTATTTATTATTTTTGAATTCTATTCAATAACCCAATCTACTGCATATCAAATTACTTACACCAAATCAATAGCGAACAATTTAACCAGTAATTATTAACGTCTGTATCGTTCATTTCCGTGATTCGATCGGTGAAAATAATCGATCCTCGATCATTGCCCTATTAACTCGTTTCACTATTATTCCAACTGTAGACCAACACTGACCACTTCCGAGCTGGTGTATTTCCGCCAATGGAACATACCGAATTCGAAGCTCATAAAAGGCACACAATGGTATATATATGGATCTATCTGTTGATGGCGTTGCGCTTGCCTTCCCTGAGAAAATACCCATGTGACTGTTTGAGCGACGCGTGTGAATGGTTACGGTTTAGAGATTAACCTATACGTGTACACTAGGTGTATGCATACCACCTTGCATGTGGCACGGGAAACTCCCTATCTAGCCTAAAGCCTATGGATGTGAAGGCGTTGGTGTTTACTAGGACGAGCCAGTTGACGAAGAGAGCAAGAGAAAGAAACCCCGTTATCTAGAAAACGTTAATTCTCGCAAAAACGGCACATACGTACAGATAACATCGCTCACTTCTCATAACTCTTATTTCTCTTATCGATTGAAACGAGATCTCTTTCCTATCTCGAACGGATGATTTCCGAAATGAAAAATACGGCAACACGAGATTGCCAGCTTAATCAACTCGGTAGATTTAATTTCACGGAACAAAGATATTCCGGTAGCGTGGCAAGCGAGATTAACGAGCCGTCGCGTCGCATCGACTCAACTTTCTTCGCGTAATCGATGGGCAACTCGCGATCGCATAGTAATTGTGGTGTTTCATCGTCAATAAGAAGAGGTCACAGGTCGAAAAATTCTATATATTCGCTTTCCCTGAGTCCATCTTAACATTCTTGCGTTTAAAAAAGACCGTACGTGTGATAGACGAGTTTTCTCCACGAGTTTAACTGGCGTGACTAGAAATACCAGATAGCTCATTGAAATTGAATAGATAAAGTTTTTCGTGTATCATTTCATCCGTTGTATGAAGATAATTATTCACTGAGAAAGTTATCTCGAAATAGAGAAATTGATTTTCGCTCATTTCAGATTGCACGGATCTTACGAAGCCCTCAAATATGGAACTTTGTTAGATGGTTTATCTGATCTTACTGGAGGAATCACAGAGAGTATCGCAATACGTCAAGATCCTACTGCGTGCGGACGTGTCCTTGCGAAGCTTCTTGACATGACATCTCTTATCACGTGTACAGTAAATAATAATCAGCAACAAGTAAGCTTTCTTAATATTCTTTTTAAATTATATATTGTAGATATTCATTTCAAATATCTCTAATATTTTAAAACTAAATTATTTATTCTTATGTGATTTTAGATTCGTACTAGTACAGAGAAACTTGCAAATGGTATTCAAATGGGGATCAATTATCGATTATATGCTATTGAAAGGGTAAATAACATTCGTTTAATGATTTTATTTTTTTTTAGCTTGTATCTGAAATTAGTTAATTATATAATAAATTTAGGTGGAAACATTCAATGGCGAAGCAGTTCAATTAGTAAAATTAAGAAATCCTCTTGGACCTGGTAGAGAATATGTTGGCGCTTGGGCGAGAGGTGGCCTCGAATGGGATGAAATACCACCAATGGAAAGAGATCGTTTAGCAGTCAGGAACATGGCCGAGGGGGAATTCTGGTGAATTAATTTTAATATTATAATTTCTTAATTCATGCAATAACATTTTTGATAAAAAAGAATTTTAATAATATTATTATTTTATTTAATTATGATAAATAATATGAATATATTATTGAAATGATAATGACAATCGTAATTCAATCGTAGGATATCATATTCAGATTTTGTGAAGACATTCACTCATTTAGAAGTCGTACATCTTGATGCTGAAACGTCGAGGGATGAACCATCATTGCATAGCAAACATACTTGGCAAATGAAACTCTATCAAGGTAGCTGGAGGAGAGGTGTAACTGCGGGAGGATGTAGAAACAATGAAGGTTCATATGCAGTTTATTAATAATAAACATTTTACAACGAAAATTTGAAAATACGTCATATAAATTATTGAAATTATAATAAAATATTCTATGATTTTGTTAATGTATTTATGTTACAGAAACTTTTCATATTAATCCACAATTACATCTAATTCTAAGCGAAATGGAAGAAGTAATTGTTTCTTTATATCAACACTCTATTATGGAGATAAAAGTAAGATGTATTTTTTATGGTATACATTATATATTTTAAAAAAATTATATTAATTATAATGTGTATAATATTTTCATTATATCAAGGTAATAGGATTCACGGCGTATACTTTACCGAAAAATAGCACAGAATCAATAAATAAACAGTTCTTTAAAAAAAATAAATCTTTAGTAAATTCACAATATACGAATAGCCGTCAAGTCAGCCATAGATGCCAATTAGATCAAGGTGGATATTTATTAGTTCCCACTACTTTTGAACCTACACAAGAAACAAGTTTTACATTGCGAGTTTATAGTAGTAAACCCTTAAAACTTAAGTAAGTAATTTAAGTAAGTAATTCAATTTTAATATTAATGCATTATTTAAAAATATAATTATATTTTATATAATAATTTCACTAGACTTCTTGATACTCCGCCATCTTTGGTAAAATCGGCTATTATTAAAGCACCACCTCTTGAAGGCAAAGGTTTTTCACAATATGAAGCCGTTTTTTTGCAACTTGCTGATGAGCATAGAACAGTAAACGCTTTTGAATTACAAGAACTTCTCGAAGCTTGTTTACCAAATGGTAAAAGTTAAAACTATTGAAAATTGTGATCGAAATTAAAAGAAAAATTGAAATTAAAAAAAATATTATTATATTTTATTTCTAGACTACATAAAGAGCTGTGCTTGTATGGAAGTATGTCGACAAGTAGTTCTTACAATGGATGTATCCTTAAAATTAATTATTTCAATTTTATTTCGACTGCTTAATAACATACTTAAAATTTATTTGTTTTCCTTAAATTGATATCAATATAGAGTTCCGGAAGTGGTCGATTGAAATTTAATGATTTCAAAGATCTTATGTGTAGTTTAAAATATTGGCAAGCTGCTTTTAAAAACCATACGAAGGAAAAGACTGGTATACTTAAAGCGGAACGATTACGAGATGCATTATTAGAAGTGGGTAAGTAAATATTTATCGATACCTAATTCAGTTATCAACGTATAATATATTTTTAACATTTAAAAAATATTTCTATTAGGATTCCAATTAAATACAGATGTTCTTTCAATTTTAATTCTTCGATATATGAGAAAAGATGGAACACTTAGATTTGGTGACTTTGTTTCAGCAATTTTACATTTGAGTGATGCATTCGGTATATTTTTATCTTTTGTTTTTTATATCTTTATATTTTATTTTTACTAATGTTTAATTTTATTTTATATATAGGAATATTTGAAAGTAAAGATCCTTTGCAAAATGGAACTATAAAATTAAGTTTAACTGAGGTACATTATATTTCATATTTTATTTAATTTAAATATAGAAAATAAATCTATTTTATAAAATATTAATATTTATTTTTAGTGGCTCAGATCATCTCTGATGTGCTGAATTTACTACTCAACATAATGTGTGTACCTTGAAATATTTGTAAATAATGTTTTCTACATCGTATATAGATATAAGTTTTAGCCATATTAACAATAACGATAAAATCCATTTTTTGTTTTGTTTGTAAAATATCATTTTTCGCCATTAGCAATCATCATTCCTTCATTTGATTAAACATTATAAGTGACTATGTATTATATGTTATTTGTATAAGAAATTCATAATACATAATAAAATAAATTTATTTTGTACAGTCCCTTTATTCAAAATAAACAATTATTCATTGTAAATAAATTTCTTATCAAAATAGGCTATACTTAAGTGTATAAATTTTACATAAATAAAAATAGACAAAGAAAGTAAGTAACAAGAAAAAGACAAAGATAGAATAAAAATTTAAAAATCAATATCATTTTCAGAATGATTATTCAGAATTATACTATAAATTATACTATAAATAAAATATATAAAGAAAAGATAGAAAATAGTAGAAAAAGGATAAAAATAGAATAAAAATTGATTTTCAGTGACATCTCTTAAGTATCAAAAATATCTCTTTAAAATCATTTTTCTAAGAACAACTAAAAAATAGTGCTAGTTCTTAATTCTTAGTCTGCTTTATCCTATATTTTTTAAGAAGATATCTTTGGTATTCAAGAGATGCCGTTAGTAGTTAATTTTTATTCCTATCTGTGTCCTTTTTTCATTATTTATTTTCCTTGTCCACTACTCTTGACGCGTGATTAGACGAAGTACTTATTTAAAATATCAATAAAATATTCATTCATCATATTTCTTTCAAAACAATTAAATGTTTTAAATCTGTGTTTTAACAATTAAATGTCTTAAATCTTTGATTTGTAATTTTTTAAAAAAATTTGAAAAATTTATTTTCAAAATTTATTTATATTTAATTTATCAAATGTTAATTTTTATTATAGGATTAATTTATGAATTAATCTCTTTAATCCCATATAATAATTTTATATTTTATTTTTAATATAAATTACAATAGAGTTTTATATATTATATATATTTATTTTTATTTAATTTAATAAATTAGATAATATAAGTTTATATATAATAAAATTATTTATTCATTTATTAAAAAAATTCTTATTAGAAATTATTTTTTAAAATTATATTTTAGAAATAATATTACATAAGTAATAAAATTTGTTATTATATGTTTCTCTATTCTTATATATTGTATTAAATTCTATTATAATTATTATAAATAATATTTTTATATAATTGACATATCGTATAATAATGAAATACAAGATTACAAGTCTAAACAATCTTATATATGTATCATTGGATTGTATGTATATATATATATATATATATATATATATATAATGATGTTCAGTTCACTAATGATTGAGCATATCTAAATTTTGTAAAAATAATGATATGATGGTTATTACAATATATATACAGTATTCAATTTACAATTTTTATACGGTGATTAGAAATAGTGTTTAGTTGAAAAGTATCATATCACAATTAATGACGTGGATTTAGGTTAGGTTATGCACAACGTTACAACTGTTACTAGAATTCTCGTCGAAATAGTATTATAAAAATAATTTAATTATTAATTATTTATCATTAAATACAAATCATAAATAATGTTCGAAATAACAGATACACAAAGTAAGTAATAAATAACTTATAATTTATACAAAATTTATATGATTTTTTAATAATTCTCAAGCATAAAATGAAATGCGAATTTCAAAACAATATATAATAATAAGATATTGATTTCAGAAATCGGAGTGGGACTTGTAGGTTTTGGAATATCTTTTCTGTTTCTTGGGGTTTTATTACTGTTTGATAAAGGTCTTCTTGCTATTGGAAACGTAAGAATTATTCTCATATTTTTGTAAAAACTTTACTCCATCATTTCTAAATTAATTATTTCTATACAGATTTTGTTTATATCTGGATTAGCATGTGTTATTGGACCAAAGAGAACTCTCAGTTTTTTTTTTCAAAAACATAAAATAAAAGCCAGTGCTTCATTTTTAGGAGGCATCATTGTAGTACTTATGGGTTGGCCTATTATAGGCATGATAATAGAAACATATGGTTTTGTATTATTATTTAGGTATATATATATATATATATATTTAAATAATTATTTTATTATGAAGTATATATTTATTTTTTACACAATTAATTAAAAGTTTGATGTTGTTAATGTTACAGTGGTTTTCTCCCAGTTGCGATAAATGTTTTACGAAAAGTACCTGGTTTAAAAATTATTTTAAATTTACCAGGTATATCTAAAATATTAGATTCAGTTGCAGGAGATCCAAATAGAACAACTGTATAATATGTTTGTTAATGTATCACTCAAATCATTGTATATAAGAACCATTATTTTATATTATATCCTAAACATTCTTGTCATTCCCTTCTGAAATTTTACAGATCTCTTTTTGTATTCTATAAATATTAAAATGTAAACAATAAAATTTAATTAATGTCAATTTATTTAATTTAGAAATGTTATATAGAAATAATACATAGATTTTTCATTTTCATATTATTATAAAATTCTATATTACTATTACTATAAAAATCATACAAGTTTTGAAAATATTTAAAAAGATAGGAGGAAAATCAAAATTTAAAAAAAAATATTTATAATCATTAATTTACTATTTCAATGGATTAATGATATTAAATGATAAATTTTTTTTTTATTTTGGAGTGTTTTTAATGAAATATATAAAATATGTAACAGTAAAAATATTACTTCAAAAAAATATAATTTTATTTTATATATAATATAAAAATGTATTTTTTTATATTCAATATTTTTTTTAGTAAATAAATAAGAACTCGGATAATTATCTTATATGTTAAATAAATATAATACAAGTCATATAATAACAAATCCAATCATAAAATAAAATTTAGAAAATAGATTTAAGGTAGAAAAATTGCAAAACAAATTTTATTATTATTTTTATTGATTTTGTTATTTTCTTTGCACACATCCTAACATGAACATATTGGATGCATACACTTACAAGTAACGCTTCTCATTATCTTACACGTATTTGTCTGGAGTGCGAAATTAAATTACTGTTCACTGAAACTCGATGAACTTCATTGATATCGTAAATATGATCATTTATTAATTATCTACAATGGGCCGAGAATAAGGGCGGGGGGCGGCCCAAGTCTACGCGCCCCGCCGTCGCCGTAATGGTATTTCGTCGCGCGTCCTTCTCTTGCTCAATTGTATACGCTTATTTTTTTTTCCTTTTTTGGATAATTAATTTTACTACTTTATGTCCTGACCATCTTCTATGTAGTCACATGTATCAAATATTTCATATTGCCATTATGTTATTAATTTCATAGATATATTTATATAAATATATCTTTATTTTTTTTTTTTTTTACGAAAATGAAATATGAAATATGGCACATGTGAATCTTTTCAAGAAAATACTGAATCCGGCAATAAATTAAGCGAATTCTTTCCTTCTAAAGTCAAAATACATACTCTGCCGAGCTCCATGCATTTCATAAGAAACTACCAAAAGAATTATAATCTAAAGTGTATTTCAATTTTCTCGACAGCTTGTGTACTGTTTCAGTCTGGAAACCACTTGATCTGGTATTACATTGGATGGTAAGGATAATAAAGATGGTAGTTGTAATTGTAGTTGTGAAGGTAATGAGGTGAGGATCGTTATAATATCTTAAAGAAGATTCTTAATTTCATCATAAAGTACCAATACGAGTGCACCACCTGTGCCACGAAGAATGTTAGAGAATGCTCCTTTGAAGAAAGCATTGCCACCTTCTGTTTTGTAAATGGTAGCCCAACAGTGAAGAGTGTTTTTGTACAAAATTTCAGATTTTGCGCGACCAGATTGCATCATCATACGCCTACGTACTGTATCAAATGGATAAGATACAATACCAGCAACAGTTGTGACAACCTGCAAAAAATATTACAAAAAATATTAATAAATGAATTATAATTATATCAACAAGATTTAAGATAAAAATTATTAACCTGGGCAATACCCCATGAAATAAGGAATGGTGTCTTTTTGGGATCTGGCAGCATACCGCGGGCAGTGTCATAAAAACCAAAATAGGCAGCACGATAGATGATGATACCCTGGACGGATACTCCGAAACCACGGTAAAGACCAGTAATACCATCAGCCTTAAATATCTTGGTCAGACAATTACCAAGACCTGTGAATTCACGTTCACCACCAGCTTTGCCTACATCAGCAGCCAATCTATAAATAATATATATAATTATTTTACACAAATTTTAACAAATGTTAACAATTGAGTATAAATAAATATATTAATATAATAAAATAAAATAAAATGTATTAAGTACCTAGTTCTGGCAAAGTCAAGGGGATAAACAAAACACAAAGATGTAGCACCAGCAGCACCACCAGAGGCCAAATTTCCAATAAAGTAACGCAGGAACTGTGTGTTTTTGTCAACACCACCAAGGAAAACTTGCTTATATTTGTCTTTAAAAGCAAAGTTCAAAGCTTGTGTTGGGAAGTATCTAATAACATTAGCCAAGTTGCCACGCCAATAACTGAGGAATCCTTGTTCTTTTGGAATGCGCACAAAACAATCGATCATACCTGGAATGTAAAAATATATATTTATATTTTCTTTTTGTTCCAAACATAAAATTAAATATTTTCAAAATATTTTAATTTTTTCATTAAAATACTTTCTTTATATGAATATTAAATTTCAAAATTCTATAAACTTTATTTTGTATCATATCCCGAATTCCAAATTGTTATATAACAAATCAATAGTTACAATAACAAATTAATAGTTATAAATTCGTATATTTTATTTTTTAAATTAAAATTACATTTACAAAAATAATATATATATAACGAATATATAAAATTTATCGTAATATTGATTTATATATATATATACATATTTATATATAATATATATATATTTATATATATATACATATATATACATATCAATATTATAATAATATTAAAATCTATATCTAATAAAAAAATGTTAAAAATCACATTATTTATATATCATGTAAGTTAAAATAATAATATATTATGAAGATATTAATAAAATTAATAAAATCTATATATATTATAAAAATTATTTATTAAATTTTCATTTTAAATAAAATATTCATTTAAAACAATTATGAAAAAATTATCATTCATTAGCAATATAATTTCATGTTTTGCAATTTAATTCTTAATTTTTAAATGAATTATTAATCATATTTCATATTTATATTAATTATTGCTTAGAATATGATAAATTATATTATCATAAGCATTGTGTTAGTCATTCATTAATATCAAAAACTCATGATTTCAAATGCAATTTATCTATAATACTAATTTATAGCATAAAGACGGCCATGTTGGACCGCACGGTCATCGATCGGTTCTTAGGAGTCTCGTTCAAAAAGCAAAGCCATGCACTGCCATCTGGCAGACGAGTCATTTTATCGAATATCGACCCACTCGTTTGTCATAAAACTGACTTCCTATTCAATCGATGTAATAAAAATTATGTAAGACCCGAAACTTCATCTTTGTTATATAAAGTAGAAAATTGGTGCTAGATACTACTGACGTATTATTAGTGTATAGAATGAAATGATATTACATAACAGGAATCTAACTGCCGTAGATGAACTTAGCGGAAATGCTTAGCAGTTTCACGATGCCGACACGAGAGAAATGTTTCTGTCACATGTCTCTTACGTCGTTGTTTTACTGTTAAGCACAGTAGTTGTGATTCTTCTTTAACTTTATATTATAATATTAATGATTTATCTTTTTCTAAATTATAAATAAATATAATTATCTCAAAACTTACCCTTATAACGTTGTTCTTCAGAAATTTGCTTAGAGATATGCTGTACCTGCAGCAATAGCTTCACACGTTCAATAGGAGCAACCGTCGTTTTCGAGATTGCGGCGGCTACACCACCAGCCAAAAAATCCTTGGCGAATGCCACTGGATCCGCAAGACCAGACATATTGTATCGGATAGTTGGTGTATGAAAACGGGTTAACAAAAGAAACAAGAGGAACCAACTCCAATGTTTCGGACGCGCGCCGGACGACGAGTGAGCGAGAAGAGTGAGTTCTTCTCGTTGAACGGACCTCTGCTAAGAATAGCTGCGCAGGTCACGTGCAGAGTTCTGCGCAGGTTCAATCTTCTGGCACGGCCGCACCTTAAGACCGTGACACTTCATGCACTTCAAACATGTACTCTGTTCCCGAATTCGTGACCTTTCTTTAGTATCTTGCGACACTTTGCTTTCCTGTCACTTTTTTATGGTCAGTTGTCGTGTATATCAATTTAATAAAATGCATTTATAATCATTTCTTTTAAAATTATATGTTTAACCGCGCTTATGACGTATTTCCGGTAAAGAACCTATAGAAATTGTCGCTAGTGTCAAGTATTTGAAATGTGAAGTATAATTTGGCGGGAATTTATTTTTATAAAATAATGAAAAATATATTATATTTTATACATTATATTATAATTATTTCTGTGTCTAAGAATCAAAATTAAATGAATATTGAACGTAAGTATTCAAGAAAACTAATAACTATGAATAATATTAATATTTTGTAATTTATTTTTAGAAATATAAATTAATTAATATTAATAATTAATATTATACATTTAATCAAAAGAAATATAATAATAATTATTTTTTTTTATAAAATTTAATCTGCAAACAATTGTAATTATAAATTTTAACAAATAAAATTATAAGTCAATTGTATACACATTTGAAACACCCGCGTAGTACATCTATCTTTATTGCCTTTCATGATTAATATACAAGATATAATTTACAATTATTTTATATTTTATAATTTCATAAATTTTTTTTGAAATTAATTTTAATGTAATAAATTTTTAATTTTTTAACAATTTTTCTTGATTTTCATAAAAATATTTTTATGATTTTAATAAATCTTTATTATCTCTATTATTATTTTATTAATATCTAAAATATTTATATATTATATCTAAAATTAAGAAACACTATAACATTTAATTAAAAAAGAAGTAAAAAAGCACTATATTAAGAATAAAAGTTGACCGATTTTTGTACAATTTAATATAACACTATCCGAAGTAAGTATTACTATAGAATATTCTGTCATACTAATCGATCACTATCTACACTCTTTAGTATTGATTATACATGTATGTAAATACAGAGATCAAGTTATATTCTCATTGATAAGAACTTTCATTGTCAACACTTTTCATAATTTCAATTATTAACATAAATAGGCAATTATAGTAAGCGTAATTACGATACTGTACACGTGTTGTACCGTGATCGCCTTTGGGGTGGTTTCGAGTTTGCGCTGTTTAAGATACAAGAACGAGATACAAGGTCAATCTCTCATGAAGAAGGAGGTCAACGGGGCGCGACTTGCGTAACCCTGGCGTACGGCCAGTATGTTACGGAGCACAACGCCAGAGTTCAATGAAGTAACTTCAAATAAAATGTATTTATACACTTTGAAGATTCGTACACGTGTGGACCTTGTAAAGAATAGACTAATGCTAAAAATGTCTTTTGTCTACATCAAGTAAATTTCTTTGCGTGTGCAAGTATTTGTTAATCATATCAGCTGAATTTAAGAACAATGATATATGCGTAATTATATGCAATTATAATATTGTATGTTATACATGAATGTTATACTAATCTCAATGTATTTATTTTGTAAATTAAATACTTATTTAAACATTTAAAGAAATTTAAAAAATTAAAAATTCTGTATCCTTATAATACGTTTTTTTGAAATATTTATATTAACATCTATTTTTATAACTTTTTTTAAAATTATATCTTTTAAATTATATATATCATGTTAATAATTTATTTTCACCATATTATGTTGATATTTGAATTATAACGGGAAATTCCATATTTATTGGATAGATAATATTCTCTATAATGTACTTTTGATAATATTTGTGGGAACACAAGCAAAATAACTTATATAGTTAATATATTTAATCATCATAATTTGATTAACTATAATATTTCTATTCAAAAATTCAATTTTTTATTAATGCCATTAATGTCATTAATTTTTATTAATGTCATTATTTTAACAGTAGTTTTCTCAGAAACGATGTTACGTAACCATTTTTAAATCTACAATAACAAGACAAAAATCAGAATATAAAGTACGGTATTTATTAAAATCTTAGGAACAAAAAACTTTTGAAATTTATAACTTTTTTAATTCAAATAAGAAATTATATATATACATATCATTTAATTGAATATATATATATGTATATATGTATAATATAATAATATGATTAGTATAGCTCAAATACGATACATCGAACTTGCAACGTGGAAGTCATTGTGAAAGAGTGTGGATTAGATTAAATAATGACCTTGATGACGTACGCGCTGTCTGCTCATAGTACAATAACTGAAGTCATAATGGTCATTGCACTTGAAAGTAGTTCAAAGTGGTTTTATACTTGATGTGGATCCATAGAATTTACATTTTTAAAATGAATAAAAGTGTATATATAATTTATATCATACAAATCATACAAATATACAAGTACGTACATCATAAAAATTAATGATCAAATACTTATTGTTTTTGTCTTGCGAATTGAAAGTCTATTATTAATTGCATAAAAATAAATATGATTGATATTTCTAATTGCACAATGCATAGATTATATAAAATTAAATATTAATATTTTTTCTTGTCTAAATAAGAAACAATAATAAAACAATAAAACAATAAAATCAAATAAATGATTTATTAATAGTTTTCAAAAGAAAATTAATAAAATTTCATACTTCCTGAATTTATTATACTAATATTACATATCTTAAATGATTAAATATATTTAATAATATATTCAAAATGTTTCATTGCCAAGATATTCATTCACATGTAAGAAACTATTAATAATTTATTCTATGGTTTCTAAGCATGAATAATATCTACAGTTGGTATAGTAGAATAAATCCTATATCATATTACTGTCATCATATTAAGATTAGATAAAAAATGACAAATTATATTTTATATTTATTATACTTTGTCAATTAAATTATAATAAAATTATTTATATTATTCAATTAAAACATGTATCTACTTTAATTGAAAGATATCATAATTATGTATATAATAAATTTTATGCTATAAACTATATAATTAAAAATATTAAAAAATACAAATAAATATAACTATATTGCATCGTTTTTTATGAATTTAGCGAATAATTATATTTAACACTTTCTAGTGCAATAATGAAAAAAATGTTAAATGAAGGAACGTGTGGAATATGAAACTGTGAAGAATACATACGAATCAAGCCGGACATTTATGAAACGTCAGACTTAGAATTAAATTACGATTTTATGGCATTTTATGGTAAATAATTTATTTTTTATTAACAATTTTAAATCATTTAATGGTTATCTAATAATAATGATAATTTAATATTTTAATGAAATTTTTATATTGTTTTATCAGTTTATAATATTCTCACTTTTTATCTCAGGTTATGGCTTCACGTAATTTATCATTTCTATTACGTTTTAATTAAATAATTTTTATTTTTCATATATATTATATCATTATTTTACATAAATAAATGAATTAAAATATTAAAAAATTATTATATATTTATGACAATACATGGAAAAATACAAATGTCTTATTTTTTAATTTTAATTATAAATATTATTTTTAGAAAAATTATACATTATCACGATATCTAATGTCAATGTTAATATATGAATGAGTAGAATAAACAATAATGTATGTGTGTTTTGTGTGTGTGTGCGTGTGCATATGTAAATATATATATTTATAAATGTGTGTATGTTATATTTCATTTGCTTTTATGTTTGTTATTTTTAGAAAAAGTAAATATTAAAAGAAGTATCTTATATAACATAGCTTCTTTATTGTTTTAGAATGAAAATGCTATGTATCTGCAGTATGACATTAGTATGTATTAATGTTGCCTGAAAATAAGGCATATTTAAACAATATGACAGAAGGTTAGTAAATATAGTATTATAAGTATAAATATAGTATTTATAATTTATTATTATTTTTTAATTTTATTATGTGATATTTATTGTATATTTTGATTAATATATATATTTAATTTATAATATATTTATTAAAATTAAAAAATGAATTAAATCTTATTAGGAGGAGAAACACAACCAACTCCTGGAAATGAGGCTCAACCTGGTATGTTTTTTTTCTTACTGATTGATAACATTTTTCAAATTTATATATAGAGAAAATACAACTATCAAGCTTAATATAATTAAGTTAATGTTCATTGTGGGCATCTGTTACGTTACAGAATGGGGCTTCATCTATTAGTCTATACTATCATATAGAATTACTAGTATTAAAACTAATGTTTTTATAGTAGTAACAGTTTCTAAATATTATAATATAAGATATTTTATATATTGTATATATATATATATATTATGTTTAGAACAATATATTTTAATAAATAAAATAAAAATTAAAATAAAAATTATCATTTTCAAATGAGTAAATCTCTCATTTTTATCAGAAGCCTCTGAAGCCAGAGTCACACATGGCGAAGGATTACATGAAACTGCAGCAGAATCATCTTCTCAAAATATACCTGAATCTAATCAAGATTTACTTACTGTTCATGGAACAACACAAGGTGAAAGTAGTGATGCTGTTAGCATTCATACTGCCAGTACTTCAGTTTCTGGCAATGGTAAACATACAATTCATATGTGAGCTAATGAAATGTGAATAAATATTTATCATTTATGGTTTTTTTAGAATCAAGTTCCAGTAGAGTGAGTGCAATAACTGTCGTATTGCCTTGGGGTGCTCAAAAAGAAACAGTGAAACAACAAATTGGAGATATGGATTTAAGACCTGGAGAGTTTGTGATGCGTACTTTATTTGCAGAATTTACTACTCAAGCAGAAAAAAAAATGGAAGCTGTAATGACAGAACATGTAAGTCAAATTATTTAGACAATTATAATTATTTAGATAAGATATATTTTTACAACAAATATATTATAGGAAA